TGAAAAGGCAAAAGAAATGCTCAAGATCCAATCCCCTTATGAAGAGAGAAAGGAGTTATCTTCTTTCCGACCGATGGGTAAACGGAGACCTTTGAATTCTCGTGAAGTTGGAGGGGCCTGTCTGCTGGACTGAGATGGAGCTCTCTTACGCCTCATTGCATAGGAGGAAGCTCTCAGTGATTTCTTGTGGAGGATGAGGTAGAAAATCTTTCTTTTTGGAAGCTAGGGGAGCTCTGTCCTTTCTTGCTAGGAGCGATGTCTCTTCAATCTTCTTAATTAAGACGACAAGGCGACATACCAAGAGGTAAAAAGGGATGCTCTCTTCTGTTGCCACGAATATCCTGGGGACTCTCTTCTTATTTTGGAGCATGAGGTCTTTTCCTTTTGAAGGCTGAGGGATGACCAGATGTCTCTACTTGAAAATTGGGGGGAGCTCCACCCTTTCTTCTTGAGCATCCCCCCCCTTATCAAGAAAGAAAGGAGGTCTCTTGTTGCAGAAGGGTAAACGGAGCCCTCTTCTTTCTCGTCAAGTTGGAGCGGCCTGCTTGATTTGTTGAGATGGCGCTTTCCTCTGCCCCCTTAGATTGCTCTCAGTCTCTTCTTGTCGAGGATGAGGCAGAGGATTTGTCTTTTCGGGAGCTAATTCAGAGGACGGGGTAGAGGGCTGCTCATGTCTTGTTGAAGGCTAAGGGGAGGACCAGACTCTTCTTTTGAAGATTGAGACAGTTCAGTCCTCACTTCTTGAAAGCTATCTCTCTTCTATCCCTTGAGGAGAAAGAGGGGACGACAAGGAGATCCTCTCTCTTGTTGTCGACTAGGAGGCAGCCGGAGTTCCTTTTTTCTCGTGAAGTTGGAAGGGTTCTCTGCTCCTTGGAGATGCTGCGGTAGGGGATGTGCCAAGGGATCTCTTCCTTACCCTTTTGGAGAAAAGAAGCTCATTTCTTGCGGATGACGAAGCAGCGAGCTCTCTTCATTTATCGTCAGAGGAGATGGAGAGTTACCAAGAGGTAGAGGAGCTCGCTGCTAGAGATCAGCTGAATGACTTGGAGGGACTTTCTCCGTGTTTTCGTTGAGGGGTGGGGGAATCTCCGCCCTTTCTTCTTGAGCGTATGCCCTTGTCCATCTTTGAAAAGGTAAAGGAAATAATCAAGATCTCTTTCCGTTGCCAAGAGAGAACGGAGGTTTCTTCTTCTGGTGCGTATGCTGTTCTCCATCTTTTCGGGATCCAATCCCCTGATCAAGAGAGAGAGGAGTTCTTTTCTTTCCGACCGATGGGTAAACGCAGATTTTTGAATTCTCGTGAAGTTGGAGGGGCCTGTTTGGTTGCTGCTTGCCGCTTTCTTTGTGTTAGCTTGCTGTCCGACTCAGGTCTTGTGACACAAACCTGACATTAACAGAATGTTGTTCCAATACGTGCCCTAGCTCGCTGGGACCAGCTCGCCGGCCTTCGTGTGAGGATATATGACCACAGCAAAGCCCGAATGCCAGCTTCCAAATAGACCCTGTTTAAGCCAGCCACGGGGGGGGGAGCGAGAACGCACAGCGCATTTGTTGACCTATTTTGATATATACATCTACATACATGCTGGTATATACATACATACATACATACATACACACATACATGCATGCATGCGTACATGCATACATGCATACATGCATGCATACGTACCTACATACATACATGGGTACATCGCTATCTACCTACATACATACGCACACATTATGACAGCTATGTGTGTGTGTGTGTGTGTGTGTGTTTTTGTGTGGATCTGTGTGTCTTTGGGTGTCTAGCTGGTGCCTGTGTAGGCTCCGAGCAATGGCACTTAAAATGCTGCGTGCCCTGCGCACGGTGGGTCAGGAAGCCTCATTCGCAGCAAGAATACACAGGAGAAACGCACCAGTGGCATCGCAGCAGACAGCAAATCAAAACCCGCCATTCCCCTTCTAGATGCTCGACTATGCAAGCACCAACTCGAGACACAAGTGGCATCACAACACATCCAAGATCAAGGAACCGCGCACAGTACTGGATCGCGCAGAAACTAAAGACTGGATTGGAAACAAGATATGTCAGGGGTATGGAAAACTAGACCAAACCCTGCGGCACATGGAGTTGGGACGACTTCGCCCCGGCATGGACGACTTAAACCTAGCGCGTGTAGCAATAGATTTTGGGCCTCGGCTCAACTGAGGGTCGGAAATCTTCGGAAGTGGCCCAAGCCACTCGAACCCTTCAGCCTCGAGCATCCCACAAACGTTGAAGCCACATCTCGTCGGTCCTCGAATCCAGCGCTTCGCAGCACGCCCTCCTCTGCAATCATGGGCGATTGAAACGAATCTCCTCCCCTTATCTGTGAAGGCTGTTCTGTTCGGCAGATGTTGACCTCACAAATAGGTTGAGCTCCGCGGACGGTGGATGCTTTGCCCTGTATGATCCCATCAGGAGGGCATCCAGAAGCCGAAATCCATGTTCTGGTGCAGGCGTGGTGTAGTTGCGCCTGGTTTTCCTGACACTATGGGCGACACGTCGCCAGTGCCTCCTCGACGCCGAGGAGCCGGGCAATGGCAGGATTCCTGTGTTGCATGGAGGGAGTTCTGAACTGTCAGGCAAAGGTCTGTTCGTTGTTCGGTTAGGGTTTAGGGTTTTCAGTAGGTTTTGGGGTTTTAGGGTTTTCAGGGTTCAGAAGCATCCCAACCCTACAACCCCCGTCATGTTCAAAGCCGCTGCAACGAGCTATGCAAGCTAGAAAGCAAACGTGGAGCACGACCACAATCAGACCGTGATGCAGCTACTGTGAGCGAGACGCGGCTTCGTGGTGTGTAAGGAAGCATCCTAAATGAAAGAAGCTGGACGGGAGTCATCTCTGTGTATTCCACATGCATAAAAGGCAGACTCCTTCCTGAGTCATAGGGATCCTTAGGGGTGTAGGGGGGAGGGGTGTAGGGGACTATATTTCCTTAAATAGGCCTTATTAGTCCTTATTATGGGCCTTAAGGCCCCCTACCCCCCCTCCCCCTACACCCCTAAGGATCCCTATGACTGAGGCTGGCAATGTAGGGGCCTTCATAAACATGGAACGCGGTCTTACTACTCTTCTGTTTTTCGCGCAGTTGAAATAGGGAACCCCAAGGAATAATATTACTAATTACTTGGTACTATTTGTTAGCTGTGTGTCACATGTCTGACATCTTGACTGCCTGTAACACCTCAGTATCCCATCCGCCCGGCATGGCTCCTCTTTCGGATTTGCCGAAACTTCTCATTCTCAGGTGCGCGGGCAATGTTGTCCAGCAATGTGCACACCTGGGCCAGAGACTTCGGACTTTGCTGCTCGGAGTTCCGTGTCGCCTGGCTCTTCTTTTCGGAAGATCTAGCGACCCTGAAACGAGCATCATGAAGACGTGATATTCTGAACCTCTCAAATGGCCCACACGGGAGTGTGAGCTCTTGAACCGAGCCTCTTCCAAAGTCTTATGTAGCATATGAATGATATTTCAGCACGCTCAGACACAGGACGAGATTTTCAAGCCTTTACAGCAATGTACAGAACTGCTGCGCTCTGCTTGGGTCTGACATGAGGTCTGCATCAACAGTCCCCGCAATAGCTCTCTGAGCCCTCTCTACGTCTGAGCCATCGGCAGTGTCCAAACCTGCATGTGCCCAAGCAAGCATCAAAAGGCAACAACCCGCATGAGGTTGGGTTGTAACCACGTCAGAAACAAGCATCAGAACCACACAGCGATCTTAAGAGACTGCAGTCATGGTTGCACCTCAAGCTCCCCGGCTTAACAGGTCAGGTTCGGTTGGTCCAACGGCTTTTGGCCGACATCGGTGAATCTGACCCTTCGCTTGGCATGGGCTCTGCTCTCCCTTTGGTCCAAAGCAGCAGGCACTGGTGCTTTCAGTGCTCTTCAACTTTCTGTCTCTGAGTCCTTGATAGACGGACATCCTGGCCTGATGTCTCCTCTTCCCGAAGCGCCCGGACACATAGAGGCTATTTGCGGACTGCAAGGGGATCCTACTGAACTATTGCTAACTCTTCACATTAATTGCCCCTGAAGTCCTAAGCCTTCGGGGCTCCAAGAGCTTGGATGATGGTGTGGGAGGACTTGATTGTAGGAGGCTACCTGCGTTTCCTCGGCGAGCCTCGACTTGACTTAACGCCTTTCTTCTTACATGCTTTTTCTATCATTTTTGGTATCCAAACAAACCGCCAAAGCCCGAAACCCGGGACCAACTCGAAGCCTTTGCAGGCAGTGGCGACGCTGCGCTCCGAGCTGCCCAGAAGGCGCAGCACTTCCATGCAGCGGCGCCCAGTGTTCCCCGGAGGGTCCGGGACTTTAATAGGTTTGTTTGTCCTGGCTGTTTGGGGATGTTTAGCCCAACTTTTCTGGAATCCAGTGTGGATCGAAAGAGCGGTCATGCTTGGGGGGACGCCGAGGTTTTGGACCACGCTAGTCGTACTTGCCAGGTTGGCTGCGGCGATCACATCTGATGACCTCTTCTGGAGCCCGGCTCACAAGCATGTCGTTGCTCGGCCTAGTCGCTTCGCCATGCAGACTAGATGAGGAATGTAGAATCAGCCCTGAAACAAGCTCGAAGACCAACGCGAGCTCTGTCTAGACCTCTAAACTCGACAGGCCGAAGGCCGAAGCCCTCAAAGCTTCTATCAAAAGCTTCAGAAGCTCTCGAAGCAGAGCTTGCCAGCAGAGGAAGAGCGTGGGATTGGCCTTTGTCTTGAAGGCTTCCTTCCAGGAATGGCGGGGGCGAGCGGCAGACGAGAATAAGAGGCTTGAGGGCTGTTGGCCTTCAGAGCTTGGGACATCCAGCCACAGCTAGAATCTAGAAATAGCAAGCGGAGCTTTTGATGTCTTCAAGCGGCACTCGAAGCGAGCCTTCATTTCTTCGATCTCCTTCTCCCTGGCTTCTCGGGCTTTCCGTCTTTTCAAGTCCTGCTGCGTGACGGGCCGGACCGAGCACAGAGCCTCGGTCCCCACTACACTGCTCGCCTTCTGTGCAGGTCCTTGGCCTTTTCGCGGGCCATGCCAACGTGGATTCGCACCCGATGGAAGTTTGCCTTCTTCACACCCTGAACAGGGCAACATGCAGGCAGCATGGCTTCGGCCTGTGCTCTGTCAGCGAATCTTACGACCTGTCATACCACAAGACATCTCAAAGCACATGCGTGCGTGTGTGTGTGTGTGTCCCGTGACACGCACAGATAAGTAGAGATATACATATACATGCATATTTCATGCACGTGTGGATACATTCATGCATGTATGTATGCATGCATGCAGAAAGACAGACAGACATACGGACAGACGTGCAGACAGGCAGGCTGGAAGACAGGCAGGCAGGCAGGCAGGCAGACAGACCTTTGCCTTTTAACACATACATGTCATATGTCCGAGCTGCTGATACTATGCAATGAAGGTGGACGCTGCCGGGAGCCCAGACAGGCTTCCGAGCTCTGGCGGTTTGCATCCGGCCTTGGCTCCTTCATCCACCAGGACCTCTCCAGGCACGAGATCCCACAGGCCCTCCAAGTAGGCGATGACACAGAACTCAAAAAACCGTACTATCACACAAGTTGTTATTTCTGTGTCTGACACAAGCTCAAGCTGAAAGGGGGAACCGAGAACCGAGCCTGGAGCAGGGAGTTCATTGCCGGCTCCGGCACTGTGAAGCTAAACTCCTTCTTCGCGTAGTTCGCGATCTGGGGCAGACACCACGACCATCGTGGCATGTCGAATCTTCATTAACCTGACCCTCATCACCCTCTTAATCACTGACAGCAGCAGCGGCAACAGCAGCAGTATAATTTGTAACTAGTTGCAATGCACACATACATACATACATACATACATACATACATAAGTATATGTAAATATATATATATATATATATATATGTATGATGTTGCCAGCCTAGTTGACCTCGTGGTTCTACTTGTCCTGGTTCTACTACTTACTGAGTCTGCCTCTGTTGGCATGAGCCATGAGATATTATCGGTTACCATGACTACCATGCCGTGGCTAGTGCTAGCGTCCTTTCCTAACTATCCTTGTTGCATCACGCACCATCAGTCTCATTGTCGATATCAACCTTCTTACCTTGACCTTAGTTCTTGTCCATCCTCATTCGCATCATCCGCATCAGAATGCCTTGCTAAATTTTGTTGTCGTAGTTATGATTCATCGGTCATGCTTGCTTCCAGAAGCGGTGCTTTCTGCATCCCCAAATCTGGGGCCAATTTCCCCGCCTCCTTCTTGTCCAGGACGCCGTCCTTGTTCGCGTCGTACTTCGAGAAAAGGACCTCTACTTGGGTGGATAAGACCCGAATAAGACACTGCGTTGTATTCACGAAGCTCTCGTCTGCAACCCACCTGAAACAGTAGCTTGTTATGCACCAACCCCAAAATCTACATGAATCGGAGGCACTGAAAGATCAGATGAAGACCTCGAAAATCCCATCATGACGGCCCGAGATACGCGAAGCTCAAAACCCCGTAAGTCTTCACGAGCTAGCGACCATCTGCTTGTCCAGCTTAGCCTTGGCTGTCGCTCGGCGAAGGGCCTGGCTCCGGCTCAGGGTGGAGGGTGTTGGGTTTTTCGTATTGAAAGATCTGGCTTTTGGGGCTTCAGGGTTCAGCCTGCAAGGACAATAATTATGCATGATGTCAATGATGCCGGGTCTTGGAGCAATGGTTTTTTTCACTCTGTATGCAACGGCTTCAACCTAAAGCCTTATGTGTCACCTGACGTCCGTGCAAGGATCTCAACAACTCGGCTGCGGTTGAGAACTATCATGGGAGGACGTGCGTCGGTCTGCACAACAAGGGCAAGTTAAATGCGCCTGCTCCTTGGAGTTTGTGCTGGACTTGATGACGGTGTCTTTGTCCATGGAAACCGCAGCCATCCTCCATGAGGTGGGGCTTTGTGCCATGACAGAAGGGGTGTTCGGGGCTTCGCTTTGTTGTAGGGTTTTGGCTGAGGGGTTACGGGCCTACGGCTCAGCATGCGGGGTTTCGGTGGGGTTGAGCGGAAGCACAACAACCGAGGTCAATTTGCAGGTGAAGGAGCCCCACACATACAACAGGACAAGGCCGCAAGTGGCTATATACATACAACTTCCATAGGCTATAGGGCATGCGCAAAAGCCCTCCATTCTCCAAAGCGAGCAATCCCAGCCAGCGAAACCTCCAAATCCCGACTCCACCGCATCATCATCCTGAACTGGGACTCTGACCCCCAAGACCTTGGTTCCCCAATACCGCGGCACCGGTTTGGTTCGGTCTTAACAACGAAGAATCACCAAGCTAAACAAAAAGGCATAAGCGGCATAAGGATATATCTGGGGGAAGCAAGAAAAACAGAGTGCCCGGGATCCTTGCCCCTGCAAATTGCCACAAGCAAGAGGAGTCGCGGCCTCTGCATTAGCCTTGAGTTCTGCTCCTTCAAGTCTTTCAGCTCAGGGTCGAGAGCCTTTCTTGAGGTTTAGGGTTTGGGACTTCAGGGTTGGGTTCAGAGTTCTGGAGGGGTTGGGTGTCGGACTGAATAGAAGAGGATTATGGCACTGGGGTTTGGGCATGGTCTGGGGCTGGGGGTTGTCTACACTCTCAGACGATGGCGCATGCTTCGAGATGCTGTTGCAGCTTGTGGCAACTTGTCTTGAAACATGCCACACGAGAAGGAAAGACATGAAGATTAGCATTGTCAGATGCTGCAGCAAGTTGTAGCTAAGTGTATTCATATTATGGCACACTACAAGGAGGAGATGAGCCAAGGGCCACAACACTAGCGACGACAACGGCAGCAGCGACGGCAGCGACAGCAGCAAGAGCAAGGCTAGGAGTGCTCTGCATTAGCCTTCGAGCTGCCAAGCTGCCTGGAAGGTGTTGCCAATTTTTCGGACGAGATCTGTGCAGACCTGGCCAAGGGAAGGCGCCAGGCTCTGCGTAGCAATCCATGAGCAGATTAGGAAGGACAAGCATCATAGTGCCAGCATCATAACCACAATCAGCATGGGCCGAACAGTCCAAAGAATGACGGCACGCAGGGCCACAACACCAGAAATGATATCCACAATCAAGATGTCGTTGGTGGGGTTTGTTGTGGAATTGTGGGTTTTTGGCTACGAGCTTCAATCCTAGGTAACAAGAAACAAGTGTGAACGCCCGACCCCGACAGGATTGGAGGGTTTTTGTGCATATTCGTCAGACCCTAAACTACAAGATATTTGCATATCCCTTAATTAAGTATTATTCCTTAAATTATAGTAGGATCCCTAATATGTGATTTAAGGTTTCTTCCTTAGGTTCCGGCAAACCCCTCAGACCTCGTAGGCATCGTTGGCTTCCTTCGTGGCCGTGTCGATGCTGGCTATCAGGTCCTTGACCTGCCCAGGTTTAGTTTAGAGAATCAGCCTAAATCAAGAAATACCACTAAAAGACGTTCGGATGGCGTTCGGCTTGGGACGACTCCGAGGCATTGGGGGCATCGTGGAGCTTCCTTGAAACATTCAGAAGTGGCGCAGATGACGTCGTCTCAGTTGTGCTCTCGATTCCTAAAGCCCCCGCCACAAGGGCTCCCGTGCGAAGACTTCCAGGGCAACCAAACACATAGAATGATGCATTGACGTCGCGGTGCATGCAGGTAGGGCATCGATGCAAGGCCACAGCTTTTCGCTTTGGTGGAGTCAAAATGCCGCACTTTCGCGGTCGCTGTGGGGTCTTTGAAAACCATCTGGCACCCATGCAGCCACAAGCCGCAATATCACGAACCAGGGTTGAGGAGGGAACCTACCACAATGTCAAAAACACATTCCTAAGCAACGGTCATGTGGGTGACAACAACAGCCCTGCAACCCAGGTACCAGGTGCGCGATTTAAAGAGTTCTGTGGCCCTGTGGCCACTGACGACCGAGCAAAAGCCGCTCCAAAGCTGGAAGCCTGCTGTGCGGGACTTTTGCAATCCTACGACCTACGACTACGGAAGATTGCGACGACTACTGCTTGTGCCGCGGACTTCGAACTTTAAGTGTACTACTCATGATCGAGGGAGTTGTTGAAGTGCTAAGAACATAGTTTCCAAAAACCGGTGGCTGTTGGGGAGGAGGTTCTCCTTCTCTTAGTCCTAGCCCTAGTCCTACTCCTACTGCTACAATCGGAGTGCTGAAGGTGGCGAGCATGCCGATGATGCAAATGATGGTTGTTATGCTGATGTTGCGGCGAAGGTGGGTGCATGACGATGAGATGAATACGAAGAATAGCAAAAACACTAAGAATCGGATGCATGGTACTAGGCTGGTCATGAGTCATGATGATTCTTATGGTGTGAGCCAGCATGATGACAATGATAACGATGATGATGATGATGATGATGGTGGTGGCGACGACGAAGACGACGATGACGACGCTGGCAATGACGATGACGACTACGATGATGATGGTGATGATGACGATGATGACGTGGACGTGGATCTGGATGTGCATGTGGATGTGGAGGTGGATGTGGTGGTGGTGGTGGTGGTGGTGGTGGTGGTGGTGGTGGTGGTGGTGGTGGTGGTGGTGGTGGTGGTGGTGGTGGTGGTGGTGGTGGTGGTGCTGCTGCTGCTGCTGCTGCTGCTGCTGCTGCTGGTGGTAGTGGTGTCGGTCGTGGTGGTGTTGGTGGTGGTGGTGATGGGGGCGGCGGCGGCGGTAGTGCTGTGATGGTGTGATGAAGGTGTGAAGGTGGTCACGCTGCTGCTGAAGATGTTGGGGACGGCAGAAACCAACAAAATTGCGACTACTCATATTCCCTGGGATATACTTCGGCTATGAGCCGTACTGCAGTGCTGTTCCTATCATCGCTAGCTGCACCCTCAAAAAGGAGCAAACTGCGAGAGCACATCAGCCGCCGATCTCATCGCATCATAGCACACCTCAGCGCTTACTCGATTCCAGGCTCTAGGCGACACTCTGCATGCGGATCAATTACTTCCTGCATGCCTCAACATTCTGAGACAAAAACCACCTTTGCTAGCTCCCGGCCTGGCCTCCCTGCACTGAAGGCTGGGGGGGGCGCAGGAGATGGTCTTATTCGATCTCCATGTCCTGCAATCGAAACCAAGAGATATGGCCGGGCCTCTTTAGAGAACCTTCTAAGACGGGAGACACGTTAACAGTAGCCGGTGTTCGGTTCGGGAAGGCTGCAGAAACAGGCCGCTCTGCCTTTGGGATGCTCTCGTCAATGATGGTGCCCCCTTCTTGCGTCTCGGCGTCGGACGGCCTCCGGGTTCAGGCTTTGCGGGTTTTGCTCACCATGGGACTCAGTAAGCATCATGGAGCCAGACAACATCAGCACATGGTAGGTGGCCATGTGGCCTGTAGCTCGGCGGGAAGACCTGGACAAGGATGGAGCACATTGCGCCGCCTCCAGGAGAGGAACGTAACGTGCGGGTGGATTGCTCATGAGCAAAGCTGGGACCTCCAGAAACAGCTGCAAAGAAATATGTGATAAGCCCATGGGAATGAACGAAAAGTTTCTCAAAGGAAGTATATAAACGCGGTTGGGAGAAGACGGTACTCGTCTCTACCCGTAAATTACTGGCACCACGAAGCCTGAATGCGAGACCCAAACACAGCATGTACCAGCCCGCCTTTGCGGCCTTTCTTGCGTGCATCTTTCTTTGCCTGGACAGAAGGACAGGGCAGGTGTAAACTTCTGTAGTTACTGCAGAACATATGTACAGCGCAAGCGACAGCAACGATGAGGACGACACAAAATGAAACGACAACAACAACCACCACGACCACCACGGTCACCACTGCCACAACGAAAACAACCACCCCCTACACGCACAGGCAGCACCACCCCGACCTTGACCACAAACGTAGACACGACAAACACAACCACAACCACCACACCCCACCACACCCCACCACACCCCACCACACCCCACCACACCCCACCACACCCCACCACCCCACCACCCCACCACCCCACCACCCCACCACCCCACCACCCCACCACCCACCACCCACCACCCCACCACCCCACCACCCCCCCCACCACCCCACCACCCCCCCCACCACCCCACCCCCACCCCCACCAGCCCCACCAGCCCGACCAGCCCCACCACCACCGACAACACTAACAACAACCACCGGAACAAGAAGAGCAAGAAGAAGAAGCAGAAGGCACAGCCGCAACCCCGAGGACAACAACGACGACTCCGAGCAGAATGACTGCACACGGAATGTACGAATCGAGAAGCAGTCGCTTGGAGCCTGATCGAACTGCTTGGCATACTGCGGCGCGACATCCTGTAACTCTGGGCCATATCTCAGGCGAACCTGGCGATAGCTCCAAAGCAACCAGCGATCTATGACTGCAGAGGGAGAGCGAAAGGGAGTACGTTGGCTTTGACTTTGGGCGTCGCAGCAGTCGGCCAGCTTTCTGTCCCTCGAGCTCTCGAAATCGGGTTGCTGTCTAGGGCCACACGGCTTCCACAAATCCGACAGCCCTGCCCACGCGAAATGTACGCACAGCGTGTAGCCTCGACAAGGGCACCATACCGGAGCTCGACCCAGTCCACCTGGCAACGAGGCCAGGATTTCAGGCCTATCTTAGTCTATCCATGTCAGCACATAGTATAGTATAGGGGCCTTAATAATTAGAACAGGGTTTTGGGCCCATTCTACTATACTTACAATAAGGAACCCCCAAAATAGTGTAGGTAATTACTTAGGTGCCGTGACTCCGGCATGGCATTGAAGCATACTTATGATTCAGCTGGGTATGATGTAACTTTTGATGATGATCAACATCATCAAAAGCACGTCACGGGCAGCTACTTTGTTGGAATGGGGTTGCTGTGATCGTTACTGTTCAACAGGCTAGACGCTAGCACCATAAGTAAATGAGTGCCGTAAGGAAAGTGATGTGGCGATCGCAAACGACAGCTATCTCTCGAGCTACTACTGACCATTGCACGCGTGATGGTTGTTTGCAACTGTTTCTGCTTTGTTGTTGCTGCTCTTGCTGCTGCGCAGTTTCGGCTGTCGCTGCCAGCGCTGCTATTGTTCCCAAGATTCGCAGCCTCAGTCTTACTTACAAAGCCGGAGAGGTTTAAAAAATTCAACATCTCACCATGTTTGCAGCCATCATCCAATGCTCTGAAGCGCTCCAAGGAGCGGCCCTTGCAGGCCTTGAGGATGGCATCACCTACACACCTCGGGACGAAGGCGCCGCCGTCCGGCCTGCGCGAGTTGGGCATCGAAAGCGGTCTCAGCTGACTTGGGACTCCAGCCACGGCATGAACTTCGCCGGCCTGAGTGGTTCGTTATTCTCGCCTTGCTTGGCGTAGAGGCCCTCATCCTCACCCAGCCTCTCAGCACCAGAAGCACACGTGCCATGACGGAGCTCAATGGAGGGGTCCCGCAACAGCACACGACAGTCATCTTGCCACAAGCCACAAGCACGCCTTGCAAGCGCATCCACTTGCTGCGAGTTGTGTCACGGATCTTCTGGCACATGGCTACGGTGCTAGGCTTTTGCCTGCTTGAAACGGTCACAAGTATCTCGTGGTGTTGAAAACGCCTCCGACATACGCCTGTTTGGCTGCGGGGCTCGAATTTCCTTTCCGGACGTGACTGTACACAATACAATGATACAAGTTGCAGAACAGGTGGACCCTTTCGCAGGCTGTAAAAAAGGTCACGCAAAGCCTGAAAAGTTGCCATCAAAGGGCAACCCTTGAAGCAGATTCGGTTACTCGACTCGGAACTGATCGGTCTGCTGCTGAAGTCTCGGGATCGGGAGATGGATCTGGAACTGAGTCAACTTCAGTTCTCGATGCCTTTTGGGCGATCCTCTGTTTCACTTTGTTCCTCAAGACTATGGCTCTCGTCACCACGGTGTGCGAGGAAGGATCAAAAGCATCAGCCGTGTCCCTTGAGATCCGCCAAGCAATGTACATCACTCCAACCATGACCAAAGCAAGGCTGGCCACCCAAACGTAGTAGCTGGAAATAACCTGAAAACTACTCACCGCTCGGAAGCATAGAGAGTCCGTGAGGCCCTTCCAGAAACTTCGCATGAAAGAACAGTCAAGCTGGTCAAGCAGAGAGAAGACCGGATCGACAAGGTGAAGATATACTAGAGCTTTCAAGTCATCGGCCACTCGAAACACGAGGGCTTCAACGATATCATCCATGTACTGGAAGATTCTGTAAAACCATAGATCGAAAGACCTCACATTCTCCTCAAACTCAGTGATGGTACACGTCTGCTCAAAGAAGGTCACCGTGTTGTTCGGATGGACGCAGCTGTTGATCCAGCTTCCATTCACTTTGTACATGTCTTCGACATCACATCTGGTACCAGCAGGTGCCCCCGGCTTTTGCAAATACCTGCAGCGAAATAGTGGCTGTGTCAACAGAGGCAACTTCCGCTCAGTCACGAAGGCTTTGGCTGCCTCGCAATCACCTGAGCCGTAATTAGACCCCGAGCAATCGCCTTCCAAGCGTGAAGGACAGTCCCAGGTCACACTCTGATCGTCGAACAGGCCTGGGATGCGGGGCCCACCACCTGTTGCGATGCCATCGACCACCATCGAATCGAGACCTGGAGCGTAAACGTTGGACAGTTGTTCTGGAAGACTTGGTGGCAAAAACAGATCATCACACAAGATACTGATCGGGTAAAAAACTATCGGCATCGAGCTGTAGACAGGATGGTCCGCAATTTCAGTTGGGAGGGGCCAAAACATGGCCTTCATGTTGACACTTCTCACGTAGCCTCGAAACTTTGTCAAGATGGGATTGTCTGCTAATCGTAGCGGCTGATTGGCCATCACAAGTTCCAGCAGCTGGAATACCCCATCAATCTGAGAGGCGACATAGTCCGACATTAAGCGGCGAAGCGAGCTCATGGTACCAGGCGCCTTAAAGGGATCGGGAAGCTCGAGGATGTCTGCCACATTTCGCGTCGCATTGTGCGTCGCATTGCTTTCGATATCGGACTTCAAGCTCATGCACTGATCTGCAAGCTTCAGGGCCAGGCGGATGCTGTCGTCCCTCGGCACACCAAGCGACTCCAGCAGGGTCTCACCTGTCTGCTGGTCGAAGTCCACCATGGCCAGGCAGACTCCTCCACCCACCATCGAGACGAGGAGCAGGATCCCTCCGATCAAGAAAAGAGTCCCAGCGAAGATGTAGGAAGTGCACATGGAGCTCCCACTGCCTAGACGAACCACACAAGGATCTGGCTCCTCGCCACCCCTGTGACAGCTGCTGTAGCAGGTCAAAGCCAAGAAGCCCACAATCACGACCAGAATTGCAAGGAAGAGAACTCCAAGAAATCCGAAGTACAGGATGGAAGATTCTCCTGCAAGTGCTTCAGTGCCCTTCTGAAACCCATCGTCTGCCTCCTTGACGAAATAGCCCAGCTGCTGCAGCATCTGCTCCTTCATAGTCTCAACTGGTTCCTTTGCTTCCTGGATAGTGCGACGCAGGTTGCCAACACGTTCGCCATCAAGCTGCGCTTCTACCTCCCTTCTGACCGTGTTCATGGCCAAGGCGACACCATCGTCAAAGAGGCCAACGAGCTCGACCAGGGCAATGCTCAAGGGCTCGCACACAGCACATGTATGCAAATAGCCGGGGGGATTTTGGTTGTGGCTGTTGTCTAGCAGGAGCTGCAAAGAGACCAACATGTCCCTTACTAGGTTCACGGCGCGCTCCAAGTCGACGGTCGCATCCAAGAGGTCACGCACCCCCTCAAGGAACGACGAGTTCGGATCAAGGCTTCTTGAAAGCTCATCCAGTGCCTCCCAAGCCGGCACAAGGCCCACGAAGTTCAACGACCGATTGCCGGCAACAGCGTCTTGAAGAAGCTGTGCTGAATAGCAGCCTGTTCCTTGGATGCCCTGCTCGATACTCTCATGCTCTGCGGCACTCATAGCACAGAGGCTAACAACCGCCGCGGCGAGCAAGACGAAGCTTGTCCAGAGGAGAAGCTGGAATGCAAGGACCCTGCCAAATTTCCACTTCGCCTGGCAACAGCAGCAACAGCACCTCATGCAGCAAGGGCAGCATATGAACCAGCAAGCGAAATGCCACACAACCCACAGCAAGACCGCCATCAGAAGTGGTGTCGCTTTGCGAATCGCAAATATTGGACTCACTGTGTCTTGCAGCACGCTCGCAATGTTTTGGGTCTCGTCTTCCCGTACTGCAGCGGCTGTCTGCACGAGGACATCGTAAACAATGTTGCCATTCCCTGCACTCAATTCCAAAGTCTTGCGGGACTCCTCATAGTTGATTTCGCCGCTCTCCACTGGACAGTACTTCTGAACAAGTGCCCGAGCCTGATCAAGCGTCTGCTGATCTGTTACACTTTGGGCCCAACCTGTCACCACACCTACCAGCACAAGGGTTTTCAGCATGGCAACACGCGCCCCGGCCACGCACAAGGCAAATGACCTTGACCCCTCGCGGCAGCAAGTTTCAAAAACGTCAGTCCACTGCGTCTTCTAACCTTCTGTACAGCTTCATGGAACATGGTGGCACTTAACTTGATCCGAGCCATGATCACAGGTCTTGTCGTCGTGGGTCACAGTCGCAGTCTTCGTGGTGGCAGTAGGCTGAGCAGTACTAGAATCGAGCTCTGTCTTGTGGTGGCAGGAGCAATAGGATGGCAGTGGCAGTAGCCGCAGCAGCCACAGCAGCAGCGGCAGCAGTGGGGGAGTAGGAGTAGAGCTGGGGTGGGGGTAGGGGTAGGAGCAGGAGCAGGAGTAGGAGTAGGAGACGGAGTGGGGGTTGGAGAGGGAGTGCGTTGGCGTGGGAGTGGGAGCAGAAGTGGAAGTAGAAGTGGAAGTAGAAGTAGTAGTAGTAGTAGTAGTAGTAGTAGTAGTAGTAGTAGTAGTAGTAGTAGTAGTAGTTCCCCACATCACTGTGTGGGGTTCTTACTTTTTGGGGCTGTCCCGCCTCCTCCTCCTCCTCCTCCTCCTCCTCCTTCACCTCCTTCCTCCTCCTCTTCCTCCTCACTCCTCCTCCTCACTTCATGACGCAGACACACACACACACACACACACACTTCCTGGCCTCACACACTTCTTGGCCTCACTTCACGACTAAAGACCCTCCGGGCCTGCTCTGGCCAAGGCCGCGCGCTCTTCCGCGACTAAAGACCCTCCCGGCCTGCTCTGGCCAAGGCCGCGCGCGCCCTGGGGGCGAGACTCTTCCGCGACTAAAGACCCTCCCGGGCCTGCTCTGGCCAAGGCCGCGCGCGCCCTGGGGGCGAGACTCTTCCGCGACTAAAGACCCTCCCGGGCCTGCTCTGGCCAAGGCCGCGCGCGCCCTGGGGGCGAGACTCTTCCGCGACTAAAGACCCTCCCGGGCCTGCTCTGGCCAAGGCCGCGCGCGCTCTGGGGGCGAGACTCTTCCGCGACTAAAGACCCTCCCGGGCCTGCTCTGGCCGAGGCCGCGCGCGCCCTGGGGGCGAGACTCTTCCGCGACTAAAAACCCTCCCGGGCCTGCTCTGGCCGAGGCCGCGCGCGCCCTGGGGGCGAGACTCTTCCGCGACTAAAGACCTTCCCGGCCTGCTCTGGCCGAGGCCGCGCGCGCCCTGGGGGCGAGACTCTTCCGCGACTAAAGACCTTCCCGGCCTGCTCTGAATCTCCGATCAGTGATTTGGGGTGGCAATCTTTTAATTTGGGGGGGTTGATTTTTCGATCAGCGTTTTGGGGAGCAGACTTCCCACCTTCTGAAGCGACTTCCATGGCATGTTCCAGCCATATCGCATCCCTCCACCACCCCGGCATTGCAGCCGGCTTCTGTACTCAGGGTTCTATGTTTAATCAGTTCAAGCTCAAAAGCTTGGCATGTTGCAGCCATTGCGAAACCCTCCACCACCCCCGGTATTACAATCCGGGCTTCTGAGTTGAAAGGTTCATCTGAACAGTCATGCGTAAAGGATCCTGGCACGTCCCAGCCTACCAGAAGTTATGAGCCGTCAGGGGGAAATTGCACATGCAAAAACGAAGCTGCAAGTGAAGCTGCCAGTGCATCCTGCAAACAGGGCTTGCTCAGTTCAACATATTTTTCCAAGTGCAGCAACAGAAGAGTCAGAAGAGTCGTCCCTTGCGAGATATCCATGGCTAACGTTGCCGTTTGGCAAAAAAATAGCACCTAGGACCTAGCCCTTGATTGTCACCATGGGAGCACCAGCATTCCCTCCACGGCCGCCATCGCCGCCCTTTGGTGGGCGCTTTTTTCCTCCAGCCTTGGACTCAACAACATGTTGTGAACAAAGTTTCATCTCAGTCAAACTCGACGGTTTAAACTAAAGCAGTGCTTGCGAGAAGCCGGGTTGGGCTCCTCCATGTACGGCATCGGCGTCGCCTGATCAAAACGACGAGTGCACAGGTTGAAAGAATAAGGAGCAGGGGTCTAGAATTTGTTTATTGGAATCTTGCCTTAGCTTTCTTCCTGGGCTTCGTCTTGGTTTTTGGCTTAAGCTTCTTCACCTTGCCAGGTCCATCATCCTTTGGCTTCTCCTCCTCCTCCTCCTTCTCATCTTCTTTCTCATTGTACCATGTATCATCAGCTTCCCACTTATTCAATCTGCATTCCTTGTTCAAGCAGCTCCCGTCATCCTGGCGGCAAGGAATGCAACAGATAGACACAGGGCAGGCAGGGCAGTCACACTCAGGCCGGCCTTCCGGGTTTTGACGTAACAGAGCCTACACCATCCAAGGTCGTGGCGGCGTCTGTGTATGGGATGCTCTGGCGGAAAATTTCTCATCCAGGGCTGCTTCTGGCGCCAATCGTCGTGGGCCCAGCCGCCTTGCCAGCCCCTCTTTTTCCACCACTCGTCCTTATCCTCCTTGTCGTAGTCCGTTTTCAGCCACCCATCATCATCATCCTTTTTTTTGTCGTCACCCGTAACCGTGTCCGGAAGCGGATCCTTGCTGGCCGCCGGCTCCACCTTAGCATTGTCTGCCGGAGCCTCGCCGTTTTGCCCCATCCTCCTTACCATCATCCTTTTCCTCCTCCTTTTTCCCGGGCTCCGGAGCTGTTAGGGCCATCATTGGCGGCGGCGGCGGGGGGAAGGGTTCCGCCTTCTTTGGTGGCTCCACCTCGGCATCCGTCTGCTTTTCTTCCTCCTCCTCCTCCTCTTCTTGGTCCTCCACGGGGTGCTCTGGCTCCGGGGTCGGCTCCTCCCACTTGTCAGGCAGGCCTGAAACGAGGAGCTTTCGATAATTGAGTTCTGTATTTTTACAGGCAGTTTTCGAAATTGCTGAGGCCAGGGCCTAAGGCTGTGCTCAGAGCCCTTTGCACTGCACGAGTCAAAGTTCTCGTAATCCGTGCACCCTTGCCATGCGTAGGTCCTTGGGCAGGACGAAACTCCAAAGACGGCAGCACCTGAGATCGAACTTTACATACATGCAGACAAGCAGCGGTGCCACTTTCCGGTGCCCTTCCCAGATCCACGGCCTCGGCCTCCTTTGCCCATGCTGCTGCTGCTGCTTTACAGTAGGTTGTGGGACTTCGGGGCTCACAGCTCGGGCCACAGACTTCACAAGCAGTAGAGCTGCAGACCCCACTCCGACGAAAAACAAAACCCTCGCAAGATTGCAGATCAGTTCGGCGAAGCTACAACTTGGAAGCATGCGTTTTGCTGCTGCTTTGCTGCAGGACGTCTGCTGCCGGTGAGAAACGATGAACTTCTATGAAGCCAAAACCTTGCCATGTTTCAGGCAATGCCCGCCGTAAGCGAGGCTCGCTGACGACAAAACTACAGTCTGCAACTGCCCAGCAATATGCTCTGAAGTCTTATCATACCTTGGAGCCGAACAGATTCATAGCAAGAACAAAGACCCTATTGGGAAACAACAAGTAACTCGCTTGAGTATGTGGGGCAGCACAGAACCGTGCGGAGCAGCTTCAGCTCAACAACAAGGCCTTCTGTGCCGGCAGTACAATGTCAGCTGTCGTCAAAACCAAGGGGCGAACCGGAGTCAATCCGGTAACCGTCCAGCGACAGGTCCACTTCAGCCCTGTTCCTTTGGTCTCCCATTTCGATGGGGTCACTGCCAAGGCCAAGTTGCCCTGCGTGTACTTCGGCACACCGTTCTCCTGAGGCACCTGGTTCTCCTCGGGCAAAAAGACGACGTTGTGCTCCTGCAGAAACGGCACTTAGCTACTGCTCATGAACAAAAACCAGGGGCAATGTGCGGAAGGAAGCAAGCAGCAAAAAAAACAACATTCACACGTTCAAGACAAAACACTTTCTTCAGATCGTAGTCGTCAGTCACACCAGGCTTAGGAGTCGTCTTGTGATAGGCCACCATGACCTCGCCGGCCCTTTGGTGATCTTTGAGAACCTGCTTCAGGTCGAGCACTTTGTTGTCGATCATGACCACGTCGTCGGTGGTCGTCAGCTCGAAGGGGATGTTCAGGACTCCCTGCTTGGGAGTCTGGGTCCATTTGCCTCGGCCGAAGGCAGCCAGCACCACGTGCTGGAGCACCGTCGCAGACTGGGAAGTCTTGTTGCAGATGTACATCGCACCATCCCTGAGCACGAAGTAGACTTGCTCAGTTTCTCCCTTTGCTCGCACAGCGTTTCCGATCGGCACCTGAAGGGTATTACATATCAAAAGCAACCCAAATCACAAAGACCCTAAAATTAAACCCGAAGCCCGTCGTTGCTGGCCTCCTGCAGCAATGTTCCTTTCATGTCATCCAAGCCGACAAGGTCGCTGTCCTCAATCTTGAGCTTCTTGGCTTGGCTCCCCGAAGAGCCTGCGGGTGAAGGCCGCTTGTTGACTCCTGCTTTGGCCTGAGCTTTTGCAGCTGCCTTGAGTTCTTCCAGCGTGCCGTACTTGTCAGCCAACTGCTGCTTCAAAGTCTGAAACTCATCCTTGAAAATCGGGTGGCTGCACCACTTGCGAATGTCGACTTCGGAAAAGCTGAGCAGGACCGGCACATCATTGTCATCCTTCCAGCATAATAAACAATAGAGCCGAACAACAACAGTAAGAATTACATTATATACACATGACATATTAAAAGTCGAAGCTCCTTGCCGTAGACCAATCGTTTCAAAGGTGGAGCCGCAGGCTCCACGAGTGCCGTCGCCGGCACCTGTTTTGGGCGCCTAAGTTCGCAGCAAGCATGGCATCGAGACTTCAAACAGCGAATGAGCCCTGGTGCCGAGCGTGGCATCTTTCAGCCAGGCAAGCTTGTTTGAATGATGGCATATTGCAGCCAGAGTGACGGGCAAAGTCATTGATTGCTTCATTGGCATTATTGCAGCCAGAAGAGTCAAATTCAACCAAAGATTCATCTGCCGTGTTGCTTGGCGAAGCCAGGGACCGAGAATGTGCCCTCCAGGTACTGGTCGACCAAGAGGGACTTGTGCGTGGTCTCAAACCACTCCTGGGACGTAGCATCCGGAAGCATGGCGGTGTAGTGCAGTGCGTGGTTCGAGGTCTGCTGCAGCTGAACGAAAGCTTGCCACATGTTGCCCACGTCCGGCACCAAGTCGAGCAAGTGCACCAGCATCGTGCGGACTGTCGGGTTAGACGGTTAGACCGCCAACTTCAGCAAAAACTATAAAGTCAAGTTTCGAACAGGCTCGAAACCAGGGCGGAGCAGGCGTCTTTGCCGAGCTGAGCATACTTCGCGGCTCCTTTCAGGGGAATGTCCCCAGTGACACTAGGCAGGGTGCTCTGGTCGATCATTTCGATGCGAAGCATTTGCCCAGCTGGAAGCTGCTTGGCTGGGTTCGTGCGGCCCTTGACTAACAGAGAACTTTTCTTCCACAGCGACTGAGGCGGCGTTGCGTGGACAGGCGGCACCATCAGCAGTCTTCCGTGGTAGTTCAGAGGTCGCTCGTCTCTGGCATCCTCGTTTATTCTCAGACACGACAACAAACACAGCTGCATATTGCTGTTTTGCAAGTCAAGGTGCCACTCGGTCGTCGAAGACGAGCGAAAACGTGTGGTCTGTGACGAGATTGATGTTTGCGATGCTCTTCATCACAGCCTGTTCCTCTGACCATCTGCCGTTTTTTTTGTGTGAGAATAGATTGGAAGTAGGGCAAGGCCGACGTTTTCCGGGTGCTCCGCCATCACATGCTGCATCAAATTGATGGATGCTGTAAAGTGGTTCGCGGCAATCAAGCAAGGAGCCGTGTAATTCGCGAAAACCACGGAGACCTCGGCTGAAGATATCTATAGCTACAGTGCAGGTGTCTACAGATGCATTTGCAAAACAAGCCTGAAGCACCATGAATTTCTATCCGGTCACTGCGGCTTGGGTGTGGTGTCGCTGGCTGACAGCAGCAATGTCAGTCTTTGTGTTCGCGATTGCCACCACTCCAGCATCCTTCTCATCCCAGACTCGCAAGGATGCCTCAGCTTCACTTTCTGGACCAGGTCGCAGCGTGCGATTTAACTGCAAAAACACTCTGAGGTATTGCAGGCGAGTCACATATTGTTCGAAGTAGGCATCAACGGCCTTGCGGGCATCAGCCAGGAGCTCCTTCTCATGCTGCAGCTGTTGGTTACGAACAGAGACCAGGTAGTTCTCCTTGTTGCTGCGATGCACCTCGAAGGCTTTCATGTCCCACTCCACTTCGGATTGCATGGCCTCAAAGGTCTTCTGGTCCAAGTTCTTCTGGCAAACATCGAGTTCGCTCGCGGCCCCCATGCTGCCTGTCCCTGGAACTTTGAGGCTTGCAGCATCAATAATCTTCGCCAAGCCTTGTAACACTGGCCAATGAAACAATTTTTTTTGGCAAGCAGCACAAAACCCAATTATGCCTATCATATATGTCTGGCTCAGGAGCTCGGGGCGTTCCGGGGCACGAAGTTGTCACTCTTGTTCTGCAGGGCTGAGGAAAGTTCCACCTCCATCATCGGGTCGGCTTGGCGAACCCGGGCAGTCCACCTTGAATCGGGCGATGAGAGCAAGAAGCACGTGATGCTGTTTGATGACAATGGAAGCAACTGGGATCACGAACGGACCAACGGAGTTTACAAGCCAGGAGGCTCCGTATCAATCCGGCTCTGCAGATCCGGAAGAGCCTGCACCACTTCATCCGCCAAAGCCGCAGCGAGTGCACCTGGGAAAACTGACAAGTCTCTTGTACTGGTGTTGTGCTGCAGCAGCAGCAGCAGCAGCAGGGGTAGCAGCATGCAGTCGCCCTGCCAAGGCACACAACTGCGTTCGCTCCTCCAGGTCTTGCTTTGAGGGTTATGTCCGGAGAGCTTTGGGCGAGTTCAGGAAATTGTTCACCACGGCTTCCATCGCGAGAATGGCGCTTTTCTTCGTGACGGTGCCGTAGGCATTGTTCCATTTGGACTGTCGCGGAGCTTTCGTTGTCCGGAAGACGTAGTTGGGAAGCAATTTTCTGGAGCTCAAGTTGTCGTCTGTAAAAGGAGAGCCTGGTCAGAATTGACTTATGAACTAGCAGCAGGGAGGCGATTCAGAACTAAGACTTCATAGCCGAAGGCGAGCCTGCCCAGCCCATGTCGTTGGCAGCCTTCAAAACGACAGTTCGCATCTCCACCGGCATATCGAGGAGATTCTTGACCGTGTAGTATTTTCCGCCCTGCAATTTGTCGGCCCTTGTGCTCGTCGAGTTCCACAGGTTAATGACCGACGAGCTATCTCCACTGAGCGAGGTCAAAGCATAGACCCAGGTGATTGGGCTCGGAGGTTCTCGGATCGAGCCCCGAGAAGCGATCTTGAAGTTGTAAAACCTCGGCAACTTCGCAGCAGGCCCTGCTTGCCACGAACAATGGGTGCGGAGGGAGTTTAGCGGCCGCCAAGCAACAACTCGTCCGTCTCGTTGCTGAGGTGGATGGCTTTGCACTGGATCTCTTGCAGGCTGGGCACAAGCTTCGGAAAAACCTGTTGGCTGTGATCGAGAGGTGTGCCAGGGACCAACAAGAAGTTACCGTGGGTATCTGCTTGGACTATTTAAAGGTCCAGAACCCACAAGCCTCGCAGATGTCAAGGCCCTCCTTCATCACCCAGGCCAGGCAGGCCATCAGAGTCACAACACGGCTGTGGCCCTTGAGATACAGGATGTCGAAGTTCGGGACAGGGCCATGTCTCGGACCATTTGCCTTAGAGCGGAGCAGAAGCCTCCTTCTATGTGTGAGACTTAATGGCATATTCCAGCCAGTTTGGCGCTGATATCTCAGCCCAATGACAAGATTGCGGCACTGGGGCCGAGGCCGCTTTCCGAATCAGAACGGGCTCCAGCTTCGTCAAGAAACCGTCCACATGATACTGATCAACGAGCAGCATGGCCTTGTGCAGCTGGACGGGCCCATTGCGGCTGCAGTTCTCAAAGGCAAACTTCTGAATCTCCACCGTCAACACCGGGGCCTGGTCCTCCTGGCCTCGGTCTGCTCCTTGCCATTTGAGGTAGTCGACGGCGCGGTTCCTGCCGACCTGGGTCTCGAGCCAGGCAGCGAACTCGTCTCGACTGGACTGCAGGGCCAAGCGTTCGGACAAAAAGTTCCCGGGGCTGCCATAGCCTCGACAGAGATATCCTAGAGAACTGTTTGATCATACTTTGGGTGGTCATGCCCGTCGCGCACATGAAAAGTACATCGGGTGATCATATGAACTTTGCGAGGTCATATGATTTTCAGATGTTTTGAGGAAATCTACATTTTGGCCTCAAAAGTTAAGTTCGGGCCCGGCAAGTATGAGCCACTTGATCCACTATTGAGCCGTTTGAGCCGTCTTAGAACCGAAACTTTAGGGTTTTGGGCCATTAAGGGTTTAGGGACTTAGGGTTCAGGTTTTAGGACTTAAGGGTGTTTAGGGTGGTTAAGGTGTTTAAGGTTCAAGTTTTAGGGTTTCAAGTGATTCGGAGCACCGTTGGCGGGGGTTTTGAGAGAGGAATTGGATGGAAGTGGGGTGCTGAATCAAAGTAATACAACGATGCAAACTGCATGGCAGCTAGGCCAGATTGCATAGATTGTAACTGACGGCTTGAGGTCAGTGATGCTGAATGATTTCTTGAGTTCTTGGTTTGATGTAGGCCCGGCTTTGGGAAATCCCGATCAAAGTTTATTGCCGACTTGCTATACCTGGGGCTGCCTTTCTTCCATAGGAACCATCTTAGCCACACGTAATACCCTCCACCAACCCTAACCGCCCTAACCTCGACGACGACGACGATCTTCGACCCTGGTCTACGACGAATGCCGCGGACTCAGCTTTTCCACACTCCTTCGCCCACACCTCCGGCAGTGCCAGCAACCACCTTTCCAGAAGCCTCTGCTCTGCTGTCTGACAGCTAGTCATCTTCAGCACCCTCATGAGCTTCTTCAATGAATCCTCATCCATCCAGGTGGAGTAGTTTGCAGGATTCGTCCTGCTCGGAGGTGAGTTTCGGAACACATGGCCCAAAATATGAAACTTAGGTCGCATCCGAAAAAGCGGCTCGCGATCCTGCAACATATTTTGGGCCATCATCCTGTAACTCTTCATGAAGAGCTGGCCGAAAAACTCCTTGTTGCGTTGCTGCTCCACAGTCAGCTGTTTCTCGGCATTATGTAGCATGGACATCACGTGTGTTGCACACCAAACTGCAGTGCAAAGCTCGCGGGGCAGAAGGTCGCGGTTGGCCTCACACAAAGTCTGTAGCCATTCCAGCACCACATATGTGTCGTAGCCTTTGCTCATCAGTTCAGGGTAGGATGTTTTACTTTTCATCCCCAGCTTGTTCTTCGTAAGCTTGTGCAGCGCAAGAGGCAGCTTCCGCGACTTAGCAAAAGCCTTCAGCTTACTTGTTGCGTCGGCAAGCCGGTCCGGTATATTGTCGCCCGCCAAGATTGAGTAGGATTGGCCTTTCCGCTTCAAGATATAAACTATCACACTTGCAGCGAGGTCCCGTCCAGTTCCAAGGTGCCATACATGTAGCAAATCTACTTGGATCAATCGCAAGTGAAAACCAGAAATGGATGTATAGGCGGGCATAAATCGCCAGGGTGGCTTTTGATACATGGTATCCCAGTATGGCGCATCGGGATTCACGTTGGTGTAACCAAGGTGCAAACTGTTGGCATCTAGGCCTTTTGTTGCACAGCACATCCAGCAGATCTGCAGGGCGGAAACCCAGTACCTAGGAAACCTGGTCACTATATAGCCAGAATTGATTCATCAACCTCCCAAGCTAATAGCATCATCTTATCTTTAACCTGAGCATTACTTAACGTATTCCACTTTGTACCCTACCTCGTCGCGGTCGGCGTATCTGTCAAAGTTGAACACCTGCTTAAGGGCCTTCCAGTCGCCGCGGAAAGCCGTGACGAAGGCGTGCAGTCTGAGAACCTGGGATTGGGATTATGAGCGTTCAGGGTTTAGGGGTTTAGGGGTTGCAAGGGTATTTTAGGGATTTGGTTTAGCTTTATCGATGGACATTATATGAGATAAGAACTTTGCTAAAGATTCCGCAATAAGTCACTTCGGCACGACTGGCCGGATCCACAATAGATACTCCAGTTGTAAACAGGCAATTGAAGCTGTCAGTAATGGCTTGGCAAGCACTTTGAAGAGTCAAGTTGACACCGTTGTCGGGGTGGATTATATACCGCTCTGCTGGGATGATGGCTATCACCATTCTGGAAGCAGAAGAGTTCGTCAGATAGGGAGACAGTTCGGAAGTCCACATCAAGAACATCCACAGCGAATTGATGCAACTCGCTTCATCACCTTGTTGATTCGGGTTAACTTATTCTAGTCTTGACTTCCTGGGATAAAAAGGGCATATAAAGTACAAAAAAAACACTATGGAAAGCATCATTTAGACACAATAAGTCGCAGTACAATGTACACCCAATCGATGAACGCTTCAGCCTTGCTTCGCTCGCCACCGGGTGTTGGGGATTGTCCAGCAAAAAACTCGACCAGAACTTCGGGATGTCGTTGAGGTCAGAGACCAAAGTGTGCAGATGGCCCGTGTCCAAGATTGTTTGCATCTGGGATGGATTCAGGGCTTGATGATTGCAGTTTTTTGCAAATATCCCTATCGTATATCGAGAGGATGCGGTATATTACTAAAGCTGATGAGGGACCATGTCATGCGGTAGAAGAAAGGGCCACTCTTCATAAACCAGAGTTGCATCGTCGGCAGAAACTCTCATAGGTAGCCGCACCGAAGTGATCTTTACAGGCAATGCTATGTCCATAGCCCTAGCCCTGTTGTGCACATCAGGCTCCCTGAGATTCCTCGGCATTTGCCGGACATAGGTTCAATAATCTTAACCCTAAACTTTTCAAACCCTAAACTAAACCTTTCAAAACCCTAAACTTACCAAAACTAAAGCCCTTGTAATTGTTCGGAGCAAGCGTCCTGAGCAAGTCGCTATCATAAATGTCTCCGATCCCACCAGCACTCCGGATGGAGGTGTAGCCACGGCCAATGTTCTCGGCAATCCTGATAGGACACGGTGTAGGGTTGGTTGATAGCCTAGGAGATAGGGTTTCGTGCACCAGGGGTTATTCAATCGTCAAGATTCGCAGCATCCAGCCGAGCTCTCGTAGTCGACTCGTCAACACCTGCGTAGGGGGCCGTACTTAAGCTATACTAAGGGTACTTGCATCTAATACACCCAATACCAACATAGTTGGAACAGACTTTTCCGTCTGGATCGAGCACATCTATCCCCACGTTTGCAGGCGTCGAACGTGGCGCGTGTGCGACCCCAAGGCTGCACTGCCTAAGATCTGTGCAATAACAGCCGGAAGGAACCCTTTTCAAAATCATCCAGACCTAAGGCCAGGGGCACCATCATTCCCAAGCAGTACTGACTTCGAGACCACATTGGAAGGGTTCCTAAATATTAAGGAGGGATCAAGGTCAGGGGTTAAAGTCAGGCTTCGGAGGTCCTAAGTACGTTTGGGGTTTCGGGTTGAAATTCAAGCTTCAGGCTTTAAGCCGGCGAGATGAGGGGTAAGATCACGGCCCAGGATATCTAACTTGATCCAGGCTCGGGGTTTACACAGCTGAACACTATAGGATTTTGTTGTTCGTCCTTCGATATTTACATATAAGACTTAGTAAAATATGTTTTGTGCCCGTACCAATTGAAGACAGAACAAACAAGTACACTTCGATAACATTCCCGTCCTCCGAAAGAACCCTCCAAAAGTATTGTGTAGGAGATATGAAAAAGAAGATTTAAGCCATCTCTAAAGAACTATGTTCGAAAGGACAGCTAAGGAACCCGAGACCCACCGTGCATTCGAATTTCGAGGAATATAGCACAACCTCTTAGGCACCCCTCGGCCAGTGCTGGATGCATCTGAACCCACAGCTAAAGGTCACAGCTGCTCACGACTTCTCCTTCTCCTTTCGGAACTCGGCGGCCACGGCTCGTGCTTGAACACGCGTGAGCTTGGCGTCCTCCACCTGGGCTAAAGTTGAAAGGGATTTCGAGTTTGGGGTTTCAGGCTTAATTGTGGGTATGGTGTATTTTTGTATGTCGCCGGGGTGCAACTTGCTCGACTGCGGCTAGGGCTTCACGCTGATCGTCCTCTTCATCTAGGTCCTCGAACTCCTTCAGCCTAGGTTCGGAAATCAAATTTAAGTCATGATTTTATGCGACTCTACTGCTTACTTGCATCACGTATGCTAAGAGCGGAACAGCTCAAGCTGATTTTTCAGTTCGGATTCATGCTTCTCCATCTTGAGTCGCAGCTCGTGGCGCTTCGGAAGGTCCAGGGCCACTGAAGCAGCATTGAGCTCCTTCTTGACTTCCTTGCCTGGGATGGGTTACATCTAGGGTTTGGTTACGTAGGCTCAGGGTCAGGGATTACAAAGGCAGGTGAGGGATCAAGGATTGTCGAGAAATATAATATCAAGCTAGGAACGGGCTTCCTCGGCGAGCTCTTTCGAGGTCTTGGGGGCAGACTGGCGGGCTTTAGCTTTGGCCTTGCCCTTGGGGGTCTTGCCTGCACTCGAAACATTGCCTCGGATACAAGCAACACAAGATACCCATGCATTGTACATGTATTGCTAAGTGTGTCACAAATATTCAAGTGAGGGGCTCCCAGAAGCAGAACCCCTTGCTGACGCCAGCTCCCTGGCAAGCTTAACCGATTCATCCTTGGGAAGACCCGAGCCTGCCCTGACAGCTGCCATAGGAGGATTGCCCAGCATGGCATCTGCCATCTCGGGGGTTGCCTGAAAACCAATCGTGCTTCGAAGGGTCTGCGTCTTTGTGTCGGTTTCGGAACGGATCATCTTTGTCTTCGTCCAATACCGTGTGGATTCTGGGTCGTCAGGGCAATCTTCGTCGGGAACGGCGTTGTTCGGTTTCCGAACAGCCGCCTCAATCTTCGGCCTTAGATTACAAAGTCCACGAATCTAAGCATCATGAGCATCTGCATGTATCGCTCGTGGGAATCTCAGCACCACACAGACTGAAGTTCCTTTCAACCATCTCCCCGATAGTCAAGCATTCCCACTCACGTTTTCCTTTCTCTTCTTTCTCCCGCTGAAGCACCATGATGTTTTCTGTCTTCTCAAAGTTTTTCTCAGCGGCGAGCCATTTGCGGAAAACCTTCAGCTTGTCCTGAGATTTCACGGGTTATGCTGTGAAGCACAAGTTTGCACAGGTACTATGTTCCTATATATATGCACACAAATACTACATTCTGCGGGGTCCTCTTTACTGCTGTCCCAAATTTGGGAGAGTTGTGGAAACTTTCTGGGTGCATCGTCACACTCCATTCTCCTCCCAAATGCCATCCATTCCTTGCGGTGGGTCGTGCTTTTCGCTAGGGCGAACTCTCCCAAGTCATCGTCGCCTGCATGAGGGGCCGGGGTCGCCGAGGGCGACGGGGTGATAGCAGGAGGTGGCTTTGCTTTCGGGGCTGGCGTGACGGTTGATGTATTCTCTTCCTCTTCCTCCTCTTCCTCCTCACCATTCTGTTCTTCATCATCTTCTCCATCATCTTCAGCTTCTTTATCATCACCGTGCTGCGGCTCCTGCTCCTCCGGATTGTCTATTTGTGTTTGTAACTCCTTCGCGATTGCTTTGACATCCTCATCATCCTTGCCCTTAGCATCTGGATCGGGCGCCACAGCCGCCAGGGCCTTCTTCATCTCAGCATTTTTTGCAAGAAGCTCTTGAAACATAGTCGCCATCTGCTCCTTGCTCGCAGACTCCACCACGACTTGTGAGGCGGAGTCACTCATCCTTAACCAAAGAGGTGACATGTATAGCAGCTGTGCACTGTGACTCCCCAGCTACTTGAAACTGTTCTGTGCAAGAAAGTCACCCCTCAAGCAAATCAGCGATATTCTCCTCCTTGCTGGGCTGGGGCGAGGCAAGGCGGCCTCCATCGGCCATCTTGTCCGTGATTTTGATGCCTCGAAGCAAAGTCCTGCAGGACCTCAGCGGTTGGAGTGCAAAGGTGGGGGAAGGGGGGAGGGTGGGGCGAAGGGAACCTCACACAAAATAGATTCGATCCTACATGTTGTGTTCGTTTCTTTTTGTAGTCATGTAGCATCAAGGAATCCATCCGCTTCAGCTTGAAGGATTCTTTGGGCTCCCCAGCTGCCTCGTCTTCGAACTGCTTTTCCAAGTTTTTCGGTGTCACCTGATAACACTGCGGATGCTAGCATCGATTGCAGACAACGCGCGTGCACACATTATATAGATGTACACACAAGAATCAAAGTGCAGTTTTGGATCACCTTCATCTGCTGTGCGGAGGTTGTTGTGGTTGGGCCTGCAGTGTTAGCCTCGGATCCTGCCGGTGGGGTCGTTGTCTTGGCTGGGGCTGGATTTGGATTTTGCTTGGTCTTGCTTGCTCCTGAGGCTGGCTTAGGCGGGGGTGCTGCTGGCTCATCCTCCTCCGCCTCTTCCTCTTCCTCTTCCATTGCCTCTCCATCCACATCCTCCTCCTTATCCTCATCATTCTCCTTCCCCTTTAAGCTTTCATCTTCCAGGATCGGGCCTGGGTGCCTTGAGTCACCTGAGGCCTCCTCAGGGATATTGCCCTTCAGCTCCTCTGGACAAGGACCGAGTGCTTCCGTAAGACCTTGGGCCACGGTTGCTGGTGTCTCCGTCGGATGCACCTGGAGAACCTTCTTCAACACCTCAGGAAAGTTTTTCCAGCTCACCATGACACCCAAGTCGTCATCATAGAACTCCTCGACCTGCTCCTCTTCCTCCTCCTCCTTCTCATTTATGTTGCCTGAGGCCTTCCCATCCTTCTTACCGTCCTTGCCCTCGGGAGCAGTCTTCGCTGCTTTTGCCTTGGCTGCCTTTTTGGCCTTCGGTTGCTTCTCCTCCTCAGCATCGGGGTTCTTGCGTGGGCGACCGGGCTTGTTTTTGGATTTGGCCTTTGCCTTCGGGTCGGGAGCCTCGGAATCAACAGGCTCCGGTGCTGCTGGCTTGGCTCGCTTGTTCTTCTCCGGCTGCTCGTCGGCGGTTTCGGGCTGCTTGCCGGCTTTACGCTTCTTTTGAGGGTCTTCGGATGCTGCTGCTGCCTGTGGTTCCTCTTTGAGGGCTCCGGATGCTTGGAGGCTTTGCATGACCTTGTCGTACTCAGCCCGGTTCTCGGGGCTGATCTTCGGCCTTTTCTGCTTTGGCGGCATAGCTGTGAAACGAAAGCCTGCAAATCAAGCTTTCAGCTAGGAAAACCTTGATTTCACATGTGCGAGCATCATGAGCCATGCAAGGTGTGCGAAGTTATGGATTTCGTGAATCACAGATTTCACGGCGTGGGGTGGTCAAGTAACGACTTTTCACGTGCAAGTCACGCTTTTTCACACGGGTTCCCGTTGATTGTGATTTCACGACTCACAGCAACTAGAGCGCTTGAGCACAAATTATGCATACCCCAGCACCACAGCTTGCACCTAAAGGCACAGCTACGAATTGATCTGGATTGGACACGGGCTACAGTAGCCCGATCTTCTTGAGGGCTCGATCCTGAGGTGTCACAGATTCAGTTAACTATGGGCTTAAGCTGACACTTGCAGTCTTCATCTCTGCGTGCCAGGTGTCCCAGAGGCCGGGCGGCTTGAGGTGCTTCGAGTTGAGGTAGGTGATGACTCTTGGCATTTCGGCCTAGATTCACGTGAATTCTGGTTTATTGTCAATCTAGGCTAAATATCGGAGCTAAGTAGCATCATCCCATATATCTCCGATTAAGAAGCCGGTCTCCGACAGGTAGTGTTGCAGAAAGAGCTCGTAATCTGTCTTGCTGCCATCGATAGTAGGGGCCATGTTGGAGTGAAAGGCTGCTTGGAAAGGGTCCTGCAATTACAGGGGCTTCGCATCCTTGTTTTACGTGAATTGCGGTTGCCGACGGGCGTGAAAACCCAGGTTGGTCCTATCATTATGCGATCCTGCTGAAATAATTTAAACCCAACCTTTAATAGTTATTCCCTAAGATAGTGCGCATCACACGGGTTGGGTGGGTCGAGGCTTATATATAGGAGGTCGTTCCTTGAAATACTGGAGCGGGGACTGTCTATCATGATTTGAGCCTCGGGGCACGATATCACCAATATTCGGAATCAATTAGATCATTAAGGTTGGGTCGATATGGCCAAAGAAATCTTAGACGATTTATTATGGAGGCGGATCAAAAGGAGATTTTAAGGGTTTGCGCGTGAAAGGTGTGATTTGGTGAACTATACCCGGTATAGTGGGACCTACGTTTTCTCTATAATATTGTACCCGACAACCCTATTAATATATGGGAAGCCCAAAAGCCTCGACTAAGCCTTAAATTCACGAAAGAACACCGAAATCCTACACAAAAACTTTACCATCAGCCTAAACCCAACCTAATCCTAAGCCAACAACCCTAATTAAACCTCACCCGGCCCGAGGATCCCTAAACCAGAACTCGTCAGCACTTAACCCACCTTCTTCAGCCTCGTAAAAAGATCCGTGAGGAACTCACCGAACTCCTTCGTGTACTGCCTGGGATGCTGAGGATCCGTGACGGGCTTGAGAATATGGACGTGTTGCATAAGACTTTACGATACGGGCTTCATACCGAGTGGCTGGGAGTGTTTGAGTTCGGTTGTTTTGCCGGTGTGCCGTTTCACACCGTTCTTGTCGGTATAGTGCACTGCCAATCGTTCCCTAAACTGGCTCATGATCTCTCGGCTCATGGAGCCAGCCCTCTCCTGCACAGCCTCGATGAGGCATTTGTCGTTTGACCACAGCCTGTGCCGCTTGGGTGTGGGGCCATTGAAATGGCCCATCCAAAAGCTGCCATTCCAAACCTGGGGCGAAAGGATATATAGGAATCGCTACATAAACCTACTGGGCCTAGGGGTACCTAGCTACGACAATTCACGTACCCAATTATCGGGCCTCAAACCCGCGCCAAAGATCTTGAAACCGAGGCATGTCCGGAAGGAAGCTACCATCTGGCTGCTCTATCACCCAGCGAAGCCCAAGGTACTGGGCTAAAATCACCAACAGGGCAACTCGAGAGGACAAGACGTTGCCCTGTGCGACGAACTCCAGGTTTTGATTCCCATGCGGACGTAGGACACTTCGGCCTTGAGTGGCTCGTGACCTCAAGCAGTGAGCCGAGTCTACATTGCAGCTGTACCAACGATTCAGCGGCAGTAATGTTTATCAAAGTTCAGATCTTCCTGCCGGGAAACATTAAAGTGAAGGATCGGCAATCCAGAGCCATAACCACTAAGGCACCGGGTTTGCACCGCATCATCTCGATCATAGCCAGACTCGGTTGAACAATCACACTTAAAGCCCGAATCACAGAGAACACTAACAATATTTAATCAAGGCACCAAAACCCAGCCGGTTCCAGGAGATCCATCGCTGTGCGATCGAACTCCCAGTCGACGGATGCTCCACGAAGGCACGCCTTGGCGGTTTTGTCCGAGAATTTGGGGAGTTTGAGATTAGCCACGGTATTTGTTCGCGGTATTCAGACTCAAATATTATGTATGGGCCCTTATACTACATAATATATATATATATATATATATATATATATATATATATATATATATATATATATATATATATATATATCTATCTATCTATCTATATGTATATGTATATATATATATATTATTTATTTATTTTCTATTTTTTTATTGTTTTAAGTGAATGTACTGAAACAATAAAATCGTCGAGCTACCCTTCGAAGAGCTGCGGATAACTCGGCTTTGCCAGCGAAGATTTCAAGAAAGTCGCGGTCCTCGAGCAAACTTTAAGCAAGGGTGCTGGAGCTTGAACTCTAGATACACTTAATAAACTTCAGCTATAGGGGAGAATCTTGGGTCCTTGGTCTTGGGGATCTTGTCGTTGAAGATCAGAAGGAGAACCGCTAGCGTAAGCATGCCGGGTGCATTCACTCGTAACAGCTCGGCTACCACCATCTCAAGAAACGGGCGGTATCTAGACCTCTAGCCAGAAAAGCTCTCGACAGAAGCTCAAAATTTCACAAATCAACAAAGTTGGATCGTGCGTCACGAATCGGCTTTTCCGACTGATGCAGAAACCTCGCGATCGTGGTAAATCCGACTGCATGGCAGGATTCCTAATTGCAAAGCTTAGAGCACCTGCATGGTTGCCATATGTATTCATACAGCATCCAAAACGAAATTTGACTCCCTAAAGGAGAAAAGGCTTCAGCTACCGCCTAAGGCGGCTGTAAATGGGTTCACCTGACAAGTCTTGTCCACGAACCTGCGCCTCTTAAGTTCCGGGAGCGGCACCATGCTGAGCAACTCAGCTCTCTCGCGGCTGATCTTCCACAGGGCCCTGGCCTCTGAAGCAGAGTATCCCTCCTCTTTCTTTTCCTCCCGAAACAGCCTGGATCGTTCCAGAAAGTTCTGGGGGATGTATTCACCATAGATGTGGTGAGAATTCGTTCCAGCATCCTTGGGCTTGCTCCCTTTGGTAGCCTTCTTGGGCTCATCTGGCTTCGATGTGGGCTTGACGGTTCGGGATGGAAGCATTAATACCTTCTTCTTCTTCAGGTTGAACTTAAACCCTGTCTTGCGGGGCTTGGAGTTCGCAGAAGGCTGAATAGGCTGCGCATCGTGATCACCATCATCTTCACTGTCATCTTCATCGCCATCAGACTTGAAAGCCTTTTTGTACTGTTCACTGATCGGGATGGGTCCAGGTGCCGAGGATGTTGAAGTCAAGCTGTCCAGAACCTGGGACCCAAATATTTCACACCCATAAAGATGAAATAATGAACAACACAATAAACATCCAGGGCTAAAGCAATCAAGCAGCGTAGCTCGGAACAGTCTTTGCAGTATTTGGGCTTGGGGATTTTTTGAACTTATAGCCCGGGCTCTTGGAAGCTTCGAACAGCCGAATATCCGAAAGCTGTGCACAAAGCCGGCTGATCATGGAATCCTTGCTGGAGAGGCTGGTGGTCGAGATCGCCGATGAGCAGGACGAAACCGTCGACGATCCATTGGTATCGTCCTCGGAAGAGGAACCATCGTGCTCGGCCTGGTTTGGCCCATCCTGGGAACAGAGGTGTTTCGGGATCGTCGGGGATATCTGCAAAGTCTATATCCGAATTCCGAAGATTCGGAAACGAGCTATCTATTCTTCGTGGGTTGAGATTAACTAGTCCAAAAGTTGTTATATTGCTTTGAAGTCGAATGCATCCGGTGATAATTTCAGTATAGAGAAGGGTTTATCGGAGTTCGGCCGAGATCGTGGATGTCCAACTATTTGGTTAGTTGCAGGAGAACAAAGTCCATCACTAATTTCGATCACCTATTATATGAGAGGTGTTCCTAGCATGTACGTGTACTCCCAAATCCGACATTTCGAATGAAACCGAAGGCCCCTGCCGGGTCCCACAATATACCGGTAAGTTTGGAAGCAATCTGAAGCTGATTTAAATTTCGGGGATAAGGGTCAAACCGTCAACAACCTAAGGCCGAGAGTCCAATCCTTCGATGTTCAACTCAGAGACCCGGGAACGTATCTCATTCAACTTCTTCATCTTGCTCTGAGTTGCTCGCTTCATCAAGCGGCGCATGCGGCCAACCTGGGCCGACAACCGATATCTGTATTGCAACCATTCCTAACTTAGGCACATAGCTGAGCACTTAATTCAATCGAGTGGCCAAGCGCTTAATTGCATCTCCCATGAGTAAACCCCAATCCTGAATACACTCCATTGCCGACGACATTCCACGAGGCCATAGGCGATTAGTGTCATAGAAGCTGAGGATGGCTGCTCTGATGATGTATGCGCTTGCTCGTCGTGATCTGAAAACTGACATGGTTGCATAGATAACCTCAGGTTCTCGGAGTTTGATGAAAAGACCCTACGAACTGCGACATGAATAATTAAAGGCCAGGGATCATCACCGTTCCGTGACACATCCTTCAACGTACACTTCTTCCCTTTGAACAGCTTCCCGGAATGGTCGATAACGAAGTTGAAGCCTGCCTTGGCTTTCCCAACCACATGTATCGGAATAGGGAAATTACTACGCCCCAATTCGTATCTGGGTTGCGTCGCGAAGGCTCTGCTGCTTGCCGAAAGCAACTGCCAGCTCTTCGACCAGGCGGGGTTCGATGAAAGTCGGCATGGTTACGGGATATCAAGCTCTGACAGTTCAACCCACACAGACATGTGTCCTAACTAATATGGCTAACTTACATACTCGATAGGCTGCGAAGCCTAGTTTGTGACATGGTAACCAATCTTTGCATCATGTTACCGGTCCCAGCTGAAGACAGGCTGCACAACTCGCAATGTAGGTCAACACCCTAAGTTTAATGCATCGAACCCTGCGAATCCCTAAACCCTAAACCCTTCCAGGCACAATCTAAATCCCAGTCAGAAGTCTATCGATCTAAGAAACCCTACGTACCCAAGCCACGTCCCAACACTGTAGTTCAGCCCAGAGCTGTGGGCGGGGGCTGACCTCCAAAGCGAAGAGACCTATCTCGTTGTACATCACGTCGAGCCTGGCGTGCAATGAAGCGTGACAATGCTGCAGAGCCCAATCGATCCCTAGAATTTCGATTTAATCAGCGCTTCAAGCACAGGCCGCACAACAAACCCAGGGGGAGGCGCACCATATGTAGGAAGGATCTCGAGTCGAACGCCCCAGCACCTGCCATCAAAGTTGTGTCACGATGCCACGGGCTATCCGGGCTTATGATTGGAGCTATACTACATGATTAAAGCGATATTTTGGTGCATCGCACTTTTCAAACACTTTGTTCTGCTTCCAGCTTAGCTTGGGTGTTTGCAGAGCTGAGCCCCTAGGCCAATTTTGCTAGAGGTTTCTAAACAGAACGATATGAGGTGCAGATGCTGAGTCTTCCTAATATATTCAACCATCCCAACCTTCAGATCTAGTTCTAATGAAGCCCAATATCGCTGCGGCTCTTCGTTTATTTCGCGAGCCCTGTATTCCCTAAGCCCGCACCGGCCCCACACTGTGCATTCAAAGCATGTACTCGAAACTCCTGCAGTTTAACTTGATCCCTGGATCGAACCCATTCCCAGAAGCACCTGACCGCAGGATCCATCGCCATCGCCATGCGACGACGACGACATTTCCCTAACTGCCCTAAGTTATCTACATATTCTATGCTTTACTGTGCTTTGCCTTTGGTGTGGGTGTTTACGATGTAGGTAGGAAAACACAGTACCAAGGTACACATGCAGACGGTATCCATGTCTATGTTAACTAGATGCACAGCTGCACAGAATGTGCGAACACTTTCGTACAAGACTGTGCATATCATGTACGTATACCGTTTATACGTGCACGTGTGTGTGTGTGTGTGTTACATATACATGTATATATATATATATATATATATATACTTCACTAGCGCCCTTGCGCTTGTGTGTGTATTATATATGTACATGTGTGTGTGTGTGTAGTGCGTGTAAGAATGTATATATATATATATATATATATATGAACGAAGTATACGCATGCGTATGATATCTGAATATTGTACAGGCTGCATGTGTATATATAGTATATAGATTATATATTTAAGTGTCATTGCATGAAGATAGTATTAAGGTTTAGGTATATATGGTATATAAGGTCCGAAGGTACGAAAGTACAGAACTTCGGTTGTGTACTTAATTGTATGTATCGAAAACATATTGGCACATATATATATATATATATATATAATATACCTACACACACATATATATATATATATGTATGTATATATATGTATATATATATATACATAATTACGGTTGGGATCTCACCTGTCCTCCGTTTGTTGTTGGACTTCCTATGTCCTCTGAGCCGTGAAGCTCGGCTTCCGATCAGCGGCCGCTTCGAGATTGTGTGTGTGCTGTATGTGTATGTGTACATGCTGGTGCCTTTCCTGGCCCTGAAAGTGCAAGATGGGGAAGATTCGGGGTTTAGGGGCGTGCACGTAGCACCCGAACAGCCTGAATAGGCTTAGGAGTGTACTCTTATTAGGAATAATATCGATACGAACACCAAAGCGTACTCGAACTCAACAACAGAATTGGGCTTCAGGTTGCACGAATAAGTAGACCAGCTCTAGGGAAGTTAAGGCGGTTCAGGGGTTTGTCGATCCCAGATAAACAATATATTCAGAAGTTTTTCTACTGGAACCTTCTAAACCTGATTTTTTCACGACTTTCCCTCTATAGTAGGGTTTTGAGCCAGGTCGAGCCATTTACTCAAATAATATTCTGAGCCACAACAGATTGAGCTGTTAACTGTAAACAGCCATTTGAGCCGAAATTACAGCAACTGTACAGGTTTCATCGAATTAATCGAATCTGTACCACACTGGATCCCGCGTGAATTTCACGACCCCCCTGTGAATTTCACACCCCCTCTGTGAAATCCGATTTTGGTCATTTCACGCACATATGCCCTTTTCACGGTCATATGCTCTTAAGATCAATGATCACCCAAAGTGCGGTTAAATAGGGCTCCAGGATCATGGAACAGGGCACAATTAATTCACGAAGCCTCCGTGCTGCCTAAGAGCCTGCGAAGCAGTCCTTCAACAGCTTCAAACTGTCTTCCTGGTCCTCCACAGGTGGTGCCGTACTGGTCGGTGCCACGGAGAATGCATCCATCATCGTTTCATCTGCAGGACCCTCCGTGGGATCTTGCTTCAGCAGCTCGTCCACGGCAGACAGCTGCTGCTGCTCGGGGTTTGACATGTCTGTCCAAGCAAAGCTTCAAAGAAGCAGCGAGGTTCGGGTGCTGTCTGCGACGGAGCTGGAAAGCTGCAGGACCCAAAGGAATCGTCATTCGCTGCTTAAAATGATCGACACCCCAAATTAAAAGATTGCGCCAATCGTTAGAATCCTTCCAACTCCAGGTCAAATTTCGTGACCTCGAGTTAGAACGGTTTCATTTGAAAT